AAGAAGAAGAAGAAAATCCAAAATCATAAAATATATAGGAATAAACTTAAAACTTGTTAAGACATTGCATGAAATAAACTACAGAATTTTGCTAGGAGCTATAAAAATTTATCAAAATATATATCATTGATGTTTTTAAGATCTGAGTATTATATATTAGTTCTTCCTAACTTATAAATTTGAGTCCAATAAAAATCCCAAAGAAATTTACTTTTTAGAAACCTGGAAAATGTTTCTAAATTTTATTTAGGAAAATAATTAAAACATTAAAAGCTGAAAACAAATGTGGAAAACATCTTCATAACAGTAGCCAACATTTATTAAGCCCTTACCATGTACCTACCAGGCACTGTTAACTTTTATAATTTTACTCTTTAATCCTAATAATTGTGTGGGACAGATATTATTAGCATCCTCATGCAGTGGAAATATATTGTTTAAGCTTAGCGGCATCTGTGTTTCTTACCTATGGTAACAACTAATTTATTTTAGGAGAATTATCTGTCCTTGATTTCAGCAGTAGGACTATTAATCCAGGCGTTTTGCTCTCCCCTTGCCAAGGGGCAGGTAAATTACCTTAAAGGTAAATGATTCATGCTAGGTGAATTGCCTGGTCCTTTCCTGCAGTTTTAATTTTGAGAAACAAAAAGCCTAAAAACAATTGAAGTTCACTCATTCTAGCAGTGGCGTTTCTAGAAGACAGTTGATTTTTACCTGCTACCTAACTAGGTCCCTAGAGGTAAGGAGACAAACTCAGGAAATGTCAACAGAATTGCATCTCCACTTGCAGACTAAAGGATTAAAAAAAGGGAGTCACGTTAGCAGAATCTACAGAGCCACAGTAGAGGGGCCATCCAACAGAAGATGCAGACACAGAAAAAGGAATAAGCTTTCCAGCGTGATGTCGCTAGAGAAGGATCTCCTTCACGCCTCTCCAGAAGAGAAAACCTGAGAAGCTCCTGGTGACAAACCAATTCCTTCTTCATGGATGTGAAATGACCAGGATACTATAAAGTCACCATGCTCTTTTGCCATGCCCAAAGCTGTGTGTGTTGACTGTTCCACTGTCCTATCAGCCTATGGAAGGACAGGCAAAGCTTACAGAAGAATGTTTCTTAGGAGGAAGCAGCACTAAAAGCACCCTGAATCAGGATGAATGGGAAACCATTCCAATAAACACGTTTTGGATACATTTTCCTTAAAAAAAAAAAAAAAAAGACAGTAACTACCACAGGCTGGCAGGGGCGGAGTGGGAAAATTAATACTCTTACATTTTTTTCCCGCTCTGATTTTCTACCACTGGCCAAACACAATTAGAAGCCAGAGGATAAAGCACGCCCAGATGAAGCGGACGGTAGAGATCAGCCCCCAAGGACGCACTGCAGGAGAATGTCAGAGAGTGGATCTGAGAGGCAAATTGGATCTGGGCTTTCCAAACAGTCCGTGTTTGCTAAAGACACAATTGGTTTCTGCAGTTTGCAACAAAGAAACCAAACTGATACAACCCACATTACAGACAAGAAAATGAAGTTCAAAGAGATTAGGTTACTTTTTGCAGGTCACATAGATAATATATGTAGGACTCTAAAACAATTTAAATAGAAGACATTTCAAAGATCACAGAATTAAATGTTATTTTCCCTGGAGTTAGTAACTGCCCTTTTTATTGCTTAATTTGCTCTGTATGTTTTTTTCTCGTATTGTAAAATACAACATAAAACTCACCATTTTAAAATGAGCAATTGAGTAGCATTTAGTATATTTGTAGAGTTGTGCAATGACCACCGCTATCTAACAGAATCCTATAGAGCCACGGCAGAGGGGACACCTGACAGGAGATGTAGTCATAGAAAAAGGATTAAGTTTGCCCTTGAGTCTGCACATGGAAATGGCATTCTATTGATCTATAGACACACACATATATACCAATTACTGAATCAGGATACACAGCTAAAAACAGATCCTGTTATACGTCAGAATGCAGTGTACTATAAAAGAGGTATCAGTGTGAAAAGGATAACTCAATTGTCTAATTGGGGTTGAGGAATTATTTTTATTTTTAAAAGGGAAATTAATGTAGACAAATCATAACATGTACCCCAAATTCAAATGGATTAAAGACAAAAATGTCAACAAAACATTTGTGGACCTTTCCAACAGAAAAAAAAAAGAGCAAACTCTAACTGCCACCAACATTTTAAATCTCGAATCCTATATTCAATTAATATGGGGATAAAGTTCTTCCCCTTGGATAGGAGAGATTTGGTTTGGTTTTCTTTTAATTTCCTCCAAAACAATCATTGGCAGGAAGCTTCTGCAGGATAGGCTCCAGCAAAAGAAGAGCATAAAGCAATAAAGAGAAAAATAGGATCCAGTGAACAAGAGACTGTAACATAAAAGAGCAGCAAAGTGGAGTCCAAGGATGACACCTGTGCAGCTGCCCTAGAGAGCGGCCACATGGGAGCAGGGGGACAAAAGGCCCTTGGGGAGTCAATGCCAGGAAAAAACGGCAAGCAAAACAAAGACTGAAACTGACACCAAGTAACTGGAAAATATTAATGATAGGCATGTGACACAGATCATCCAACTGTTTGGAAGTTAATAAGAGATTTCTGTTTTTATGAAATATCCAGAATAGGCAAGTCCATAGAGACAGAAAGCAGATCAGGCCGGGCGCGGTGGCTCAAGCCTGTAATCCCAGCACTTTGGGAGGCCGAGACGGGCGGATCACGAGGTCAGGAGATCGAGACCATCCTGGCTAACACAGTGAAACCCCGTCTCTACTAAAAAAATACAAAAAACTAGCCGGGCGAGGTGGCGGGCGCCTGTAGTCCCAGCTACTCGGGAGGCTGAGGCAGGAGAATGGCGTGAACCCGGGAGGCGGAGCTTGCAGTGAGCTGAGATCCGGCCACTGCAGTCCAGCCTGGGCGACAGAGCGAGACTCCGTCTCCAAAAAAAAAAAAAAGAAAGCAGATCAATGGTGGCCGGAATGACTGCTTAATAGGTACAAGATTTTTGGGGGGATGGCAATGTTTTGGATGGAACTAGACAGTGGTGATGGTTGCACAACTAGAAATATATAGGTAAATAAGAGAAAATTAGAAAAGTCAACAGTAGAAAAGTGGTTATTGTGGAATAGATTCAGGAGTTGGGTAGAGTGGGAAAGTGAGCTGCTAGTTTTTATTATAAGCATTCTAGCCCCATTAGAATTTTTTTTTTTTTTTTTTAAAGACAGGGTCTTACTCTGTTGCCCAGGCTGAAGTGTAACGGCATGATCACGGCTTACTGCAGCCTTGACCTCCTGGGCTCCAGCAATCCTTCCACCTCAGACTCACGAACAGTTGGGACTGCAGGTGATCACCACTGCACTCGGCTAATTTTTGTATTTTCTGTAGAGACAGGGTTTCACCATGTTGCCCAGGCTGGCCTCGAACTCCTGGGCTCAAGCAATCTGCCCATCTCAGCCTCTCAAAGTGCTGGGATTACAGGCGTGAGCCACTGTACCTGGCCCCATTTGAATTTTTAACTACAAGCAAGTATTACTTTGATCTTTAAAAATACACCTCACAATAAAGAAAAAGCAAAAAGAGGTATATTTGTAACCTAACTTTCAAAACTTAAATTGGAAAAACTATAAAAGATCATATATTTTATTATATGAAAAACCTAAAACTCTGGTACATCAACATGTACAGTTTTTGGGACTGAAGATTAATGGCAGCCACCTGCATCTAATCTCTTCACACCTCCTCCTTTAAAATGTTAAGACCAACAAATAGCACAAGTAAAATGAAACGAGTCATTATGTGGAAGGGGAGGTAAGTGCACAGAGGGTAGAAATTGCAGAAATGGTCACCATTGCATGTCTCCAGAGACCTTAATAAGGGATTCAAGGTAAGCAAGTGAATCAAGCCGGGTGTAAAAAAAATAATAATAAAAATAAATGAGTGTGTTGGAGACCATAGGAATTTCATACAAATATTGAAACTGAAAACACTTAAAAAACATTCCAAATCAGCTTTCCAAATCTGCAACCTTTGTTAGAATGAAGGCAACAGGAAAATGGTCTGAAAGTGCCAGGGAAGAGAAGAAGGACACTGAGCCCTTTTCGTCCCTTCAGCCCTTTCAGGAGACAGAATGCCACAGAGAATTTTCCACAGAGCTGGGCATGGTAGCGCACTCCTGTAATCCCAATAACTCAAGAGGTTGAGGCGGGAAGATCGCTTGAGGCCACGAGTTCAAGACTAGCATGAGCAATGTAGTACGACCCAATCTTTACCAAAAAAATCATTAGCTGGGCACAGTGGCATGCACCTGTAGTCCCAGCTATGGGGGAGCATGAGGTGGAAGGATAGATTGAGCCCAGGAGTTGGAGGCTGCAATGAGCCACTATTGCACCGCTGCACTCCAGTGTGGGGAAAACTGAGACACCCAAAAAAAAAAAGAAGTGTTCTGTGGTTGCAGAGCAGGAGAGAGGAGGCTTAACAGATTCCCACCCTGAAAGAGAAAGTGGGAAGCGGAGTATGTAATAGCACTCAATTTCCTTTGAGAAAACTGCCTCCCCTCCATTGTGAGAAGTCTTCATCTGGAGGGCCTGCCTCCCCAATGCTGCAGCCAGGAGCTAGGTCTTCACCCACTTACCAGGGAGTCACAAGAGCCTGGCTGCTAGGCTCAGCGACTGGATGCTCTCTCCAAGTACAGCAAGATCCTAAGCAAGTTAGACTTTAGTGCCGTGGCAGAAGCAAGCATGCTAACACAATTCCCCACATCCACAATGGAGGCTGGGCATTGTCAGCAGTGGCGGTTGGAATACAGGATTTAGGAGGAGGTAGCAGTTATGAAATGCTCAATATAACCAGTAACGAGCAGCACAAGACCCCTCACACCTTCAAATATAAGACCAGTAATAACACAAATGTACATTTTAACTTGGGTAGTTAAAAATACTAACAAGTGATTTATATCTGCTAAATCAGCAAAAAAGTACAAAGAGGAACAAATTGAAGGCATATGTTTTAATGAACATTATAACCAAAAAAGTTGAGTCCTTGTGCTAGAAACACGTAGAAAAAAAAATTATAAAATTGTTTCAAAGAAAGCTTTCAGAATCAGTTTTACCTAAAATCTATAGCTAAGATTAGCACTTCCACCCACCTTCACCCATGATTTCTTCCTGCCAACCTTCTCTCAATAGCTATATATTAGTATTTGGCTTGATTCATGTTCAATTTTGACAACAGCATGTCTAGTTAAATACTACTTGCAGCTGGCCATGGGACATATTATGAATACCTTTGCTTCCCAGATACATTTACAATTATTTAGTTTTTCATTTGCTTACTTCTCTGGGCCATAATTTAACCCCAAATTATTTGCCATTCATCCAAATCTCTCCACATCCTGATGGATCAGGTTGTCTACAAATGTCATCTTGTTCAAAGGTCTCTGTTCCAGTCCAACCTGGCAGGAGTAGAGGGGTGCCATGCAGAGGGGGATCAGAGAGTGCCAGGAAAAAAGGAGAACAGGGGCCTCTGGACTGAACCATCCCAAAGACTCCTGTGCAGCTTCCCAATGAGAAGAGGTGAGACTGTCAGCAAAGAGAAAGTGAACTTTGCCCAGCTCTCTATGACCACACGCTGCCACACGCACTGAGGATTGAGAACAGATCCAAGGGCAACTGCAGACACCTAAAGCTAAAGAAAATGGTCTAAGGTTGTATTAAAAAATCCAGAGGCACTTTTTTTTTTTTTTTTGGAGACAGGATCTCACTGTTGTCCAGGTTGGAGTGCAGTGGCGCAATCTAGGCTCACTGCAACCTCCGCCTCCTGGGTTCACACAATTCTCCTGCCTCAGCCTCCCAAATAGCTGGGATTACAGGCGCCCACCACCACACCAGGCTGATTTTTGTATTTTTTGGTAAAGAAGGAGTTTCACCATATCGGCCAGGCTGGTCTCAAACTCCTATCCTCTAGTGATCCACCTGCCTCAGCCTCTCAAAGTGCTGGGATTATAGGCGTAAGCCACCTCGCCCAGCCTCCAGATGCACTTTGTATACAATTCTGCTCAGGCAGTTTTGGCCTCAGAGTCCTCCAGCAGGTGAAAGACTCCAACACAGGAACAAAATCTTTGTCTACCCCACAAATCTCTTCCAGGTTGACACAGCCTTCATAAGCAAGAGCCACGACTGTGATGAATGCCTGTTGTCATTTTAAGCACTGCAAGTTATTCCACATGAATACTGAACTATGGTCCAAGCATATAAGGGAATGCATCTCCCTTTCAATCACACGCCATCCAATGCATGCCATAGGTGGGTAATGTCAAGCAATATTCCCCCACCGAATCCTTTGCTTGGTCAGGAGACACCCTGTATCTACTGCAAAGACTTCTGTTTTCTCCTCTGTTCTGTATTTTCCCAAATTCCTACCCTGGTATGTACTCTTTTTTCTAATTACAAAATAATCATTAACTTCTAAAAAGCCATGTACAACTAGTTGACATAAAAATCCATCTAACCCATCTTTTAGTAAATATGACTATGTTGTAACAATTTTATTTTGATTTTAAAAAAAGGAGTCTCTTGATTTAATCAGGGCCTTGGGGTCATAGGGGGATTAGTCACTGTCACAGTCATGGTGATGCCTTTATTCAGGGAAAACTTTAATATTCTTTGTCTTCTTCAAAAACAGCTGCCGGAAAACTTCAAATTAAGGAATGTTCATCTAAAACACCTTTACTGAAACTTGATTCCTTGGGCCAGAGGAAGGTCTTTACTGTAGTTGATAGTACTAGTGGGAAAAAATGAACAGAATTAATGATAGTACATACATAACAGAAGATTTTCATGCCCACTTTTAAAATGTAGCAGATCTGTATATTTTAAAAAGGTAAGATCTCTAAGTTATAACTTTTTAAGACAAACCTTTAAGATAAAAGACAATGTTAGTATTGGTCTCATTTTATTTAAAAGAAAAAAGAGAGAAACATAAAAATCTGGAAAGACAAATATCATACATGGTTTTTTGTTGGTTGGTTTTTTGGTTTGTTTGGTTTTGTTTTGTTTTGAGACAGGGTCTCACTCTGTCGCCCAGACTGGAGTGCAATGGCATGATCTCGGCTCACTGCAACCTCTGCCTCCCAGGCTCAAGCCATTCTCCTGCCTCAGCTTCCTGATTAGCTGGGATTATAAGCACCCGCCATCACGCCCAGCTAATTTTTGTATTTTTAGTAAAGACGGGGTTTCACCATGTTGGCCAGGCTGGTCTTGAACTCCTGACCTCAAATGATCCACATGCCTCGGCCTCCCGAACTGCTTGGATTACAGGCATGAGCCACTGCAGGTAATGGATCACCTGAGGTCAGGAGTTCAAGACCAGCCTGGCCAACATCGTGAAACCTGGTCTCTACTAAAAATGCAAAAATTACCTAGGCGTGGTGGTGCACGCCTGCAATCACAGCTAGTTGGGAGGCTGAGGCAGGAGAATCGCTGGAATCTGAGAGGCAGAGCTGAGGCTGCAGTGAGCTGAGATCAGGCCACTGCACTCCAGCCTGGGTGACAGAGCAAGTCTCCATCTCAAAAACAAAACAAAAAAAAAAAAGTGTGCCATCAAAAGTGCAAGAAACAGCCCAGCATGGTGGCTCACGCCTGTAATCCCAGCACTTTGAGAGGCCAAGGCAGGCAGATCACCTGAGGTCAGGAGTTCGACAACAGCCTGACCAACATGGTGAAACCCCATCTCTACTAAAAATACAAAAATTAGCCGGGTGCTGTGGCTCACGCCTGTAATCTCAGCACACTGGGAGGCCGAGGCAGGTGGATCACCTGAGGTCGGGAGTTCGAGACCAGCCTGGCCAACACGGAGAAATCCCATCTCTACTAAAAATACAGAAACCACGCACGAGACCATTTCATTGTTGGGTGCTGGGCACTAACTGAAGCTAGATAAGAAAGCTAGAAAAATAGTACCAGATAGATACTCGGAGGAGACAGCTGTGGCATGCTGGAAAAATCAAATCAAATGGCACTGCACAAAGACAGCACAGACAGTAGAAGAGTGTAAAAGCACATTCCCAAAGGCTTTAAGCCCAAACCTATCTTCCCAAAGCCATTTCTTACCAAGTAGACCTTCTCATGTAGTGTTTCCAGGCATCACTGCCAGACTCCCTGCCACCACCAGTGTGCTTTTCTCCTCCTAGAGAAATAAAAAATATCATTTGAGCAGTTTCCGTGTGGGCTCATAGTTGGTATCATTGAAAAGAAGATACCCAAAGGACACCAGAACAACCTGATTATTCACTTTACATTTAGCCCACAATATCTCCCCTGCAAACAAATAAATCAAAGACAGACACCAAGAGACCAAAACAAACAGAAAAAAAGGAATTAAGAGGGAAAATAAAATATAAGGAATTAAGAGGAAATGGAAACATATCAGAAACAAACCGTAAACAACAACAAAAAAATCCCATTTGCCAGGCATGGTGGCGCATGCCTGTAACCCCATTGCGCCTGGCCCATACATGTTATTCATAGTTTTTCTTTTGAGCAGCACGCAAGAATATGGGAGCTGTAACTGTCTTCTTTATCTCACTCAATAACTTGTATTAAATTATCAGGAAAAACACAGATATTCCCGTTTGATTGAAATACATTAAGAAAATATAATAATTTTGAAATAAAAGCTTCTCTATTAACTAGTCACCTGGTCTTTCTCATGAAAGGAAAAGAATCTCCATTAAATGGGTTCCAGAAAAATCACAGCTGAATGTTTGCCCTTCTAGTTCTCAAATGCACAAGCAAAGTAAAAAGAGACATAACTGACTTCAAAGAATGGGAAGCTGGTAAAAAGCCTGCACACGTTTGAAATAAAACAAGCCACAGCTAACAGCGCCTCTTAAATTCCTGGCAGGAACAGAGTCACAGAGGCTGTAAGGAACCAAGGCTGAGCACCTGCCTGAGGTTCCAGAGCTAGTGACAGCAGTAAATGGGACTGGGATGGTATCTCTTTGTTCCTCACCCAGTGCTCTTTCTATAAGATAACACCCCGGCCGGGCGCGGTGGCTCAAGCCTGTAATCCCAGCACTTTGGGAGGCCGAGACGGGCGGATCACGAGGTCAGGAGATCGAGACCATCCTGGCAATGCGGTAGAAACGTCGCGCTACTAAAAAGTACAAAAAAACTACCCCCGGGTGGAGGGTGGCCGGGCTGTAGTCCCCAGCTATTCGAGAGGCTGAGGCAGGAAGAATGGCGTAAACCCGGGGAAGCGGAAGCTTGCAGTGAGGCTGGAGAATCCGGCCACTGCATTCAGCCTGGGCGACAGAGCGAGATCCGGTCTCCAAAAAAAAAAAAAAAAGATTAAAACCCCATTGGGTCTTCCAACGGAACTTTTGATGCACTTGAATAAAAAGCTATTTCTACCCAAAGGGCAGAGGAGTAGGCGAGAGCAAATAAAAGTAGAAGGAGTCGGACTGGAGCCAGGAGAATGGGGAAAGAAGGATGAGGAGGAAGATGCCACTGCAATCCAGGCCCCGGGGGGACAGAGGCAAGACTCCCTTTGTTCTCAAAAAAAAAAAAAAAAGTAGGAAGAAATAGGTCCTTAGTCAAAATCTCCCAAAAAGGACTCCCTATCCAAGGTACGCGCAGCTGGGTGAATGAACTAATCACTTTCAAGGACCATGATCACTAATCTGAGGCTGGACCCCACTACCTCTGCTTGCTAGCCAGGCCTGCAGGCCCTCCTCCTCTGTTTCTTACTGCTTCTTTCAGTCTGCAAGAGGTCCTTGGAAGTGCATCCCAAGAAGAAAATGAAAAAGAACGCTGTGCTTCTTGTCTCCTATAGTTGGACTCCCCGACCTTACTCCTGGACAGGAAACTCTATCATAATAGAGGGTCAATTACATAATGTCTGGAAGTTGTGCAGGGGAGATAGGCAGTGAAAAGGCATACTATTTAGGAAAAGCCTGACATCAATTCAAAGGTAAATTTGGGGGCTTTTTTCTTTGTAGTAAAAGAATTCAGGCCCACGGTACAGTTGGCTTCACAAGCTGTATTCTCAGCAACTTGGGGAGGCAAAAGGCAGGTGGATCCAACAAGGTCCAGGGAAGTTTCAAGACCAGCCGGGCAACATGGTGGAAAAGCGCCCACGCGACTAAAAAAAAAGAAAAAAAAAAAATTAGCAGGCATGGTGGCGGCGCCTGTTCAGTACGCAGAGGCGGAAGAATGCT